ATATATATATATATATATATATCAAAGTTATATTAAAATTCGCATATACCTACAGATAGCATATAGTATTGTAAGATGGGGAAATATGTATATGTAACTACATTTTCTATTAAAGAAAAAAAATTTTCTGATACAGATGAGATATGTATGTATGCTATATATACATTGCTATGTTTTGACTTCATTAAATTCATAAATGACAAAGTGATACTGAAGAATGAAAATACAGAGAGAGTACTCTGCGTTTCACATATATAACAATCTAATATTTTCAACACTAACAATATGAATCTATTTACATTTATATTTCTATTGTGTGCACCACATACACGATTGTAATTAAGAATAAAATAAATATACGAATATTTACATAACAGATTACATGTACAATGAATATATATTATTTCTGTGCAATTAATATCCTATTTTACCAACTGAATCATATTTAATAGAATAAAAAAATAATAGTTATAATTAGACACGCTTTTATTAAAATTTTCATAAAATAAGGTATAAAATATACTATAATAATTTGTAAATTATTTGCCTAAAGTTTAATAATTATTTTTTGCACATATCTAGAATATAATAATTATATACATTAAAGAATCGTTCTCTATCTCTCTCTCTCATTAATATATCGTCATTAAACTCGGCTGAAATAGTATCAGGCAATAAAAGTAATAATTCTTATCAAATATATTTATTGCCTAAAATGCTCCCAAAATACAATAAATTATATTAACATGTTATATAAACATGCCGTGGTAGTTTTATATACAATATAAAATAATAATTCTAGCGCTTCTCTATGGAAAGGAACACAGTTTTCATGATTTCGCTGTACATTGGTATATGTTTCATCTTATTACTTTCTCCAATATTGTGCAAATTTATGGAGTTGCTCCACTAGCACGGCCATCACGGCGGTGACAGACAAATCCAGAAGATTATGCACGTAATGTACAGCCTCTTCATCGGTCAAATCCAATCGTAATTTGTCCTGGACTTTTTTCACGGCTTTGTCCGGTTCCAGAGCGATATCAGGAACACTTGCATCCACCATTAGCGAGAATAGATTCAATATCAAATTAGCGTGCCTACGTAAATGAAGGAACGCTGTGTAACATTGTTTCCGAAATTCGTGATAATGTTCGGAACCGACGCCGCCCATAGCTTCGACCATCTCCTTGCTGAGTTTCATCGGAGGAGGTAAAGGTTTCGGATCTCTACCCAAAATATAGCCGAAATCAATGTGAAAGAGCGTGCCTGTGAAAATAGATATTACAAATCATTTGGTTCATTTGGTTCATTCGGTTTGTACAGTCTTTTATTTAAAGAATATACCTGATGCTGTGAGAAGTAAATTATCCAAGTGACGATCGCCGACGCCTAGTACGTATGTAATTATGCAATAGCCAGCTGAAATTTTGAAATAATAATTAAATAACAATAATTATTCATTTTATTTTATAGAGTTATATTAGTCGTATTCACCGCAACTGCGAACATAAGTGTCCATAACTTCAGGTACTACTCCATAAGGTCCAGTTTCGGAAGGATGATGTTTTCGAAAGAAATTCAATATTGATCCCTCATTAGCTAAAACCTCTGCAACTGTTGTGGATTCGATAAATTGTACAAAACCATGTTTAGTACTTGTTGCGAGTACCCTGAAATAACGATTAAAAATCATAAAACGATAGTTTTATGTAACATAATTTATATTATATAATCTTTATGTAAAAAGATTTTACCTATATGGAGTCAACTTTAAATCTAAATTCTCTCTTCTTAATAATTTATCCATAAGTGCTATTGTTTGTAAAATTAATTGATCTTGTCGTAAATCGTCTCCGTGTTTAAAAATAGCTATATATTCGGTATTATCTGTTGTCAAAAATGTAAGTTTTGATGGCATGAGTGCAGACTTAAAGAGACTTGCCCTAAATAAAATTAATAAAGTAAATTCGAGTATAATATATAAATTAACATTAATACATCGAATAATTTGAATATGTACTTTTCTGGAATAATTCCTTTAATACAAATCTCGGGATCTAATGGAAAAGGTATTGGCTCAAAATTTGAAAAATTAATCTTGAATGCTGGATCTGGATCCGTTAGTAATGCCCTCAATCTATCAGTCTTTTTCTTACGATTTCCGCTTTCTCGCGCAACGGCTTTTACCAGAGATACCAGTTGATCGATGAACACCTTTTGTCGTAAAAGAAACGCTCTTCTCTTTTGCCAAACGGTATTCCCCTGCGCTAATGTCATGGAAAACATTTTCATTACAGTGACGTACATTTCTCTGACTCGCGTATCTTGTTTGGCGCTTATCGCAGGATCAATTTGATCCTCACACTCAATAGAAAGATACCAATAAAAATAATTAGCTAGCATCGAGTTCTGACAAGCACGTGTAATTAAAAACGATGCTAGATCCATAAGCGGTTCTTGACTCGTCGATAATTGACTCTCCGATTCACTAGACTGTAAATAAGTATAATTATGTAAGATATAATATAAAATTAATAGAAAAATGTTATGTTTGACTCACAGTTGTAACTGGAGTAGATGTAGAATCACTATTTCTTATGTCTTTATCTAATTTGTCAGTTTTTTCCATTTTCTCCAATCTTTCGCTTTTTTCCAATTTTTCGGTATTCCAACTTTTTGACTCCAATCTCTCTTCCTTCTCCTTCAACATTGCTTGATAAGCAGCCTTAATACTTTCAAAGTCTTCATATTTCAATGCTTGCACCAATTGCAGCAAGTACAACATTAAATCATCATCTGGCGCTTGATTTAGTCTGCTAATCGCGTATCTCCTAATGGCCGGATGAGTGAAAGCGGGTCCTAATAACTCCAAAGCATCCTCAGAATCTGGTGGTGCCCATAAAGCTAACATCTCCAAGGCTTGACGTTCTTCACCAGCGACTTTCCAATTAACGCATTTTACGAACTTGGTCAACGCTTTCTTCTGGCTAGACAAGTAAAATCTGTACTTCCAAATCAAATCCTGTTCCTCGGTAGAAAGTGCAGTTGTCGATGGATATCCCAATATCGTATTTAAGGCATCACGCACAGTCGAAGTGGGTTTTAATTCACGAGTGTTACCGCCACTACGTAAACTACGGGCTAATTTATGGTGTTTTGCCTCTACAAGATTTTCCTGGAAGAAAAATTAAGCCTCATTTTTCTTTTCTATTATTTCAATATAGTTTGGAGCATATATTGTATATGCCTCATATATATTACTTTATATATTTTCTTTTGTAAAAACCTTACTTGTAAAATCTCATAATCAGGAAGTGTTACAACGTCTGGTTGTAATCTATGTTGAAAAACTTCGTCACCATCTTTTTCATAATACACAATTGAATACTATAAAAAAAAGAAAATAATTATATGTATATTATTTTTTTATATATAAAAAGTACTTTAAATTAATTGTGCTATATACCGGTACACCATCCATTGTGACTTCTGGAAATTCTATCATCAAATACAAGTACTCTGATGCTCTTTTCTCCCTCTCATTGATTAATTCGATCTCTCTGAAAGTTAATCTGTCCAGCCAATCAATCTTGTTTATTTGCCCATTTCTGTGTTTCTTAACAAGTTTTGCGAGTCTTTGCATTTGTTCTTTCCCATGATCTCTAGCTTTCCCTGGTGTACTGGTTGAAACACTACCATCGGCTTCTACCCCGGGCCATACTCTAAGATCCAACATGCCCTGTCGGTATACTCCATGCTTGCCAAACAGCGATATCGTTGTGCCACCCACTGGAAGCTGTCTGCCAGGTCCTGCGCAGTCGTACAGAGTTATGCATAGCTGTGCATCGCGTGGCAGATCCGTGTAGGAGATTGGTAAATAGACCCACTGGTTCCAGCTAAAAATATCATAATATTAAAGATATCATTTAATGGTAATAATACATCATGTAATATAAAATTTGAAATGCAACCTACTTCCAACGAGAGATGAAGTGTTTGTAGGCTGTATGTATAGGCAGAGCCAATGGTCTACCACCGGCCCATACTTGCAGAGATGCAGCTAAATCACCACGAATCCCACCTGTCTCGTATAAACCTGAGTATTTGAGTAGAGGATCGAGAAGTAGCTCGTCGTATTCAGGTCTGTATCTCTTGCCCTCTAAGGTACCTCTGTGAAATAATAGAACAATTACGTATCTAATAAATCATTTAAACGTGAGGCCGTCATATCCTGTAAATTACATGCAGTTGGTATTAAAGACAACGACCAGATGGTCGGACACACATATTGTTGCATTAATTACTCTGATCCGATTATATTTCACATTAGTATAATTAATATTTACATCATATAGAAAGAATATTAAAGTACTTTTATCGTCCGATAACCTAAGGTCGATCAAACAGTGACGTAAACGACGTCGAAACTCACATTTTAACTTGTATCCTGGTATCTAATGAAGAACTGTACACGTAGAAAAACTTATCGCTCGTACTCTCCATCATGATGATATCAATTAATCAAGCACTTGAACGCGAATTTGCTTTTCCATTACTGTACATTACATTTACAATATTGACGCAATTTATGTTGGCATAAACACAAATATGTAAATACACAAGCGTAGATAATGCGTATGCTATTCATCGAAGAAATCGCAGGACAATCTATCGAAATTTGTGCCAAGATATTGTACGAAAAGCTACTGATTGTTGATATCATACAGAAAATTGCATCAGAATAAATTATTTTCGACGATACAATCTATAAGGAAGCCGCACACAATCGAACAATTATTTCAACTGGTAGAATTGTCTACAGCAAAATTTCCAACTATATAATTCGTTCGTAATCTGATCTTTCCACGATATATAAACACAATGGAGAATTACTCTCTATATCAACAAAAATATTACAAATATTACAAGCTAATTAATTAATTAATCCAAACAATCAAGTCTGTCGAAAGCAGACCATTCCAAGTTCCAAGCCTGCTATCAACTGTTGTCAGCAAAAAGCAAAAAGGCTAAAGATATCGACGAAATATTATTAAAGAAAAGAGACCGCTCTGGCCCTGGGTATAAATTTTCGTGATCGTAACTATACCAAGTGGGCCCGGTAGGCTCGAAGATAATAGAAGATTGATGACATTACCGGCCGTTTGACTGTAATTCATACGGTTATATTTTATTTATTAGTTCATCCAATTATTTTATTATCGAAAATGTATAGTTATATATCGAATATCGGATGCAATCAGATGCAATGTGATTTTCCAGATAAAATCAGCTGTTTTGCGATGTTGCCAATTTCCTGCATCACCAATAATTTCTCTGCCACAATAATCATGCTGTGATAAGGTATATATTTCATCAAATAATTCTATTATTAGAAAATAAGCACTCCATAACTGAGTGGTTCGTGAAAGAAGCTGAGTGATGTATTTTGAAAACGTAATGAGAATTTTTACTATCTAAAATATATTACATATATATTATAATATAAGTTAATTGGAATTTGGTCAGAGAGCGGTCCTAAATAATCGGTATTGTTTATTAAGTGATGTTTAATATACATGTGAAATTCTAAGATTTTGACGAAGACATTCATTAAATCCAAATCTTGCTTTAAGATGTAGAAAAGTATCGAACAAGTTTCATCGAAAATTGAAGTATGAACAAATTTCTTTCGATGCTAATTTATTCTATTGTAATATATATGTAACATGCCTTGGCATGCTTTGGCGTTCGACAACCCCGAGTAAAATAGTTACCCCACGACCGTTCAGAAATTAACCTGCATCGGCTTGCACTTGCTGCGCGGCAAGAAGCGACGCGGTAGCCAATCAATCTTTCGCTCTTATGGGAAAGTTGTAAATTGATTGGCTACCGCGTCGCCTTTAGCCGCGCGGCAAGCGCTGCCGCGTCCTGTGTGCAGGAGTTACCAATCGTACGTCGTACTCTATCAAATAGATTGTTCGTGCTTTGTGGACCTTCGTTTTCTCCGTTTAATGAATGTGCTTTTCGTACTCTTTCGGAAGACATACAATCAGTGTTCCTCGCTCTCTTTCTTCGGAAAATCGCGGTTGTATACGCGCCGATAATTGTAAGAAAGATCACAATAACAAGAGAAAAAAACTATAAAATACGATGTTTGGACCGGGAGCAGCGCCAATTGTGGTTCTGAGTAAGTTAAAGGTTACCTTCTTCACAAGTATCGTCGATCTGAGATCTAGAGGCACGCATGCGTCAAAAAATCCCACGATCTGAAATTACTCGACCGTCCTTTTTTTGAATTTGTTATTTGGCGATTCGCGTATGTTATAAATAAAATAAATCGTTCCTCTGATCATGTCAAATATTCTGGTTATTGCAGGCCAGAACACGAAGCGGGATAGTGGCAGAAAAGTGCAGAGGGAGAACATTCAGGCGGGTAAGGTGAGCGTTTAACTTGTGAGTCAAGTATCGCCTTATAAGGTACTCCTGGCACTATTGCCGGCACACCCACGTGCGGCTTTCCAAAGTGGCAAGAACCTGATCGCTCGTGAATCAAGTGGCGATCATTAATTGACTTATATTTATCGTATATTATCATTCTTAACTTATACATATAGGATTCTATAATAATAATCTGTACAAATTGATTCAGTGTAAAGGATTTCTCCTTGTGCGCAATTTGTAAATTCAATTATAACATGATCATGGCTTAATTGTTAAATTCGACGAGAATAATAGTATCGTGATCTCGGCTTATTAGTCAAGATACAATTTAAGCCTGTGACACAAAAATATAGAATATTTATATACAATGTTAATTTAACAAGCCTTGATTTTTATTATTTTTATTTTCAAGGCAATTGCTGATGTTATTAGAACATGTCTGGGTCCACAAGCTATGTTGAAGATGTTGATGGATCCAATGGGTGGCATTGTAATGACAAACGATGGAAATGCGATCCTACGTGAGATCACTGTGCAACATCCTGCTGGAAAGTCCATGATAGAAATTGCCAGGACTCAGGATGAAGAGGTAGGAGACGGTACTACGTCAGTCATTGTCTTGTCGGGTGAGATCTTGGCCACTGCTGAACCATTTTTGGAACAAAACATGCATCCCACAAGGGCATATAGGGCATATCGTCAGGCCTTGGAAGATATGGTCACAATCCTTAATGAGCAGATCAGTATTGATTTAGATTGCAATGATAAAATCCAGGTGATCTGCTGAACCATTTTTGGAACAAAACATGCATCCCACTGTCATCATAAGGGCATATCGTCAGGCCTTGGAAGATATGGTCACAATCCTTAATGAGCAGATCAGTATTGATTTAGATTGCAATGATAAAAAGAAATTAATCCAGGTGATAAACTCCTGTATAGGCACTAAATTTATCAGACGCTGGTCTGAATTGGCATGCCAGATTGCTCTGGACGCTGTTTATATGGTAATGCTTGAGGAAAACGGCAGAAGGGAGATCGACATCAAACGTTATGCCAAGGTAGAGAAAATACCAGGTGGTACGATAGAGGACAGTGTCGTCTTAAAGGGTGTAATGATCAATAAGGATGTGACACATCCAAAAATGAGACGTTACATCAAAAATCCGAGAATAGTGCTGCTAGATTGCCCATTGGAATATAAGAAGGGCGAATCTCAAACGAATATAGAGATAATGAAGGATACCGATTTTACGAAGATCCTAGAATTAGAAGAGGAGCATGTAAAAAAGATCTGTGAAGATGTTATCTTGGTGAAGCCGGATGTAGTGATAACGGAGAAGGGTGTATCCGATCTCGCTCAGCATTACCTTGTCAAAGCCGGCATATCCGCGATCCGCAGGCTACGAAAGAGCGATATTAACAGAATCGCTCGTGCCTGCGGTGCCACCGTCGTGAATCGTACGGAGGAATTAAAGGAAGAGGATGTTGGTACAGGAGCTGGCCTTTTCGAGATCAAGAAGCTCGGCGACGATTATTTCTGTTTCATCACAGAGTGCAAGGATCCTAAAGCTTGTACCATTATTCTGAGAGGAGCCAGTAAAGATGTCTTGAACGAAACTGAAAGAAATTTACAAGATGCGCTACATGTCGCCAGAAATCTTCTCATCAATCCGAAACTTGTACCAGGTGTGTGTGTGCGCGCGCGCGCATAAGGTTGCTATTTTATTTTTATCAAAATTGTATTAATATATTTTATTATAATTCTCTGTTTCATAGGTGGCGGAGCAGTGGAAATGGCTGTATCGCGGCTATTAACTGAGAAAGCGGCGGGTCTTGCCGGTGTGGAACAATGGCCGTACAAAGCGATCGCACAGGCTTTAGAAATCATTCCCAGAACTCTGGCGCAGAATTGCGGTGCGAATACTATTAGAACTCTGACGGCGTTGCGCGCGAAACATGCGACGGAAGGAACAACTTGGGGCATTGATGGGGAAACGGGTAAATTGGTTGACATGAAGGAATACGGTATATGGGAGCCGTTGTCTGTAAAGTTACAGACATACAAAACGGCGATCGAGACCGCTATCCTGTTACTAAGAATCGACGATATTGTCTCTGGAATCAAAAAGAAGAAAAATGAGAATGAAACTGCGCAGCCGAGTCAAGTTACGGAGGAGTCTATGAAAGAATAAATATTTTCGGTATCCGTGGTGAAGCCTAATTGCTTTGCGTCTATTTTAAGATTCAAGTATTTTGCATTCTCGCAGAATAATCGTCTATTGAATTTTTATTTTCTCTGTATGCATTTTCACACATTAAAAATAAGTTGTCCAGAATCGTAAAAATTGTTTTTATTTACACTACCTTCAAATTTTTTTTATTTACACTACCTTCAACATATATATAGAATAGCAAGCAATATTGTGTGTTCAAAAATTAACAATTAAATACTTTGATTTATATTATCAACAAAATTTTACGAATTTTGTACATTGTAGTTCGATATCGTTCCCTTTTGAGTAACCTCTTTCTCTTTTGTTTCTTCCATTTCAAATACAATAGTCTTTGAAGTAGAATCCACAATTTCTGTTGGCGAAGATATTACTGTTGTAAAGGAAAGTTTTGCATCATATGATGTTACTGGCTGTATATTAGACACGCATAATTTGGAGATTAAAGGATCTTTTCTAACAGGCAACAGTGTAGCCACTGGTTCTAATATACTCTGCTTATTTAAATATGTAACTTCCTACAAAAAAAATAATTTTACATTACATATATCTATTTGTTACGCATATATATATATATATATTTTACTGATATATACCTCTTTCTGGAGTACATTGACTGATATTCCTAAATGCATTGCAATCTGAATGGGTGGAAAAATCAAATGTATACAATATTGTATATAAGGAATCAATTGTTCGCTCAAACATTCCGTGAATTTAATCATATTCTCTCGTTCTGCTGCTGCAAAAGCCTGTAAGACAAAAAGAATACGGAATTTCTTTATGAACAAAAATACTAAGACAACTCACTTGCTGTTCTTGCTTGTAAAATAATAGCATAGCTTTCGCCACATTATGCAATGATTCCTGCAGCAATTTTGTGCATAAAGTAGAGAATGCCACTGGTGCACAGAGTCTCAATTCATTGAAAGCTGTTATTATTCCGTTGCAATATTCAGCTAAAGGATAAAATTCTACCAATTGTTCAGGCGGATTTTCCTGATAAGAGACAATTGTAATTGGAGACTAAAATATATATATATATATATTTCTCGAAAGATACAATTTTATACTTACAGAGATAATTGCAGTCTCTGCTTTTATATCGAGCCGTTGCGTTTTGTTGATCAATGTAAACGTTTCCATGTCTTTCTCAAACTTCCTGGTTGTCCTACGAATGTCTTGTTCAAACTTTTCACCGATAATTCGCACAAATATATCCGATATTCGACCAGTAAAATCGACGCCTACTCGACCAAATGATAATCCAAAATACGTACACTGGCCTAAAATAGAATCTATGGACGTTACACCCGGTAAATCTTGCTCCAATGTACCAAGAAATTGCGATATCTAGAAAAAAATTTTAATCATACATTTCTGTTGATATTATATCCGTTTCCTATTTACCTTTTCCTCCAGCCAATGATAAAATATCGCGGATTCATTTAGCGTCAAGTCGCGGCCGGGGATTACTAATTCGTCATCATTGAACATAGCTTTGTATTGAGTTATTATATTGAACAAGTGTATCCTAGATAATTCTATCGTTTTGGTTATATGAAGATTAGCTGCAAGCATAGAAAGGAATCAATGATTCTTTCAATGATAAATCAATATTTCTCTTGATCGTAGCTTATAATTCAAATAAAACGCTCTTACGATCTTCTTTCGGTATCGCGTTTAACAAGCCTTGGAGCCAACTATCTCTTGCTTGAAGAAATTTTATACGAAGTTCTGGTTCTGTAAACGCATCCATTGACCGTAGCAAACCTACAAGCTGAAGACATCTTGGAAGTGGTAGATCCCCTCTTAGAGATCCGACTACTTGTCCTACCATTCCTGACCAGCTGCTTTCAATCTCTGCTACTATAGACTGAAATATTCATAAAAAATGAAATCAAACATATACAGGAGTGTCAAAGAATTTCAATTAAGTTTATACCGAAATAATAGGAATATCTCCATGTTTCACTCCTAATTGACGGGCGTATTGAGACAATTCTAATGCTTCATTATATTGGTTGCTTCTCAAGCATGATTCCATTAGTTGGGGCATTTCAAGAATTTCGAGTAATTCTGCATTTCGTGTCAGTGTTAAGCTGTTTAATCTTCGATGTGCATTAATATCCTTTGAAGCATCACAAAATGATTGACACTTTTCTATAAATTTTGGGATTTTTTGTACAAGCTTGTCAAGACGGCTTTCAGTCTCATTGAACTAAAAGTGAAATAATGCAATTTGTTAATATAATTATTTTGAAGATCTATGCATTCTTTTAGCTTATATTCCTTGAGATTACATGATTGAGTATCTCTCTCGAACTTTCTGCTGTCTGGATAAAAGTTTTGTAGTTCGCAAAAACCAGCTCTTGTGTAGTCTGAAGCACTGCATTTTTCTCATCAGACAAATGATCGGGTTCTTTACCTGGAAAATTAGGAGCAGAGAAAATTAGGCTAAAACTATCTTATAGGTGTGTATTGCAAAGATTAAATTCAAAGTGAACTAATAAAAATATCCTTACTCAGCTGATCTACATCATAGCCACCAAGTTTTAAGAGATACTGATAAAATTCAGGATTTTCTTTCCACGATTCTAAAACAAAAATTATATAATTATCCATGTACACACACACACACACACACAATACACAATATTAAACAATATATTAACAATTAATTTCCAAGTATATATAGTAAGGGTAATCCCACCTGGAATATTTTCTGGAAATACCAGATTTATTACATTTTCCGTCTCGATATCCATGATTTTCTTAGCAAGCTAGATAATATCAAGATTAACATTTGTTGTAGAATATTAGCACAAGTGGAAGATTGACAGGTGGCAGGTATCAGAGTTCTTTCGGCATGCTATATAATTTAATAGAGTGTTCTTTTCATAATATGATGTAATTATTTCAAAGAATACTTTTTATCAATTAAAATTATAAAATAATCTTCTCTTATACCGCGATAATATAAATTTTACACGTAAAAATTTGGCAAACTTTAGGTTAACTTATTTAGGATAGAATTTCCATGAAACGACACATCTTACAGTCGTCAACGTCAGTTTTAGGAACAAGTGGCGCAAAGGCACAAGTAATCAGCTGATTGGGATGAGAGGAACCTTATACTTTTACAAAAGTTAAAGTGACACTATTCTTGACAATCAGATTTTTGAATTAAAGTTTTCTGAAGATCAGTTTCGTTATTGTTTCTTATCACGGAAAATGACTTTAAATCTGATCAAACAGGTATATTGTATTTCCGTGACAATTAATTATCTAATTTTCATACTGAATAAAATAACTTGTGAAAATGCAATTTTTATATTATTTATGTATCACAATATTGTGTTTATTATTTTTATTTCAGATTATACGGATTAAACAACATTCATTCGTAACGAAAACCTTATCTGCAAAATTTTATACCGGAAGCTTGTACGAGCCTGATTATCTAGAGGTTAGACTTTTGGATCGTAACACTTAAAAAAAAAAAAAAAGAAAAAGTATATATATAACGGTTTATTTTTTTGAATTTTTTTTATAGACAGGAAAATCGAAATTTCCACTTTTACCTATGATAAATATACAAATTAAGGGTTACGACTATTCAGTGCTCGAATGTTATCAAACATTCATGGATAAATTGGCAGATAGCATGCAAATTGATGTAGACAATAGGTAAGTTTCCATTAATTTATTTAAATATTGTTTCTTCAATTTTTCTAACACCATTTTCCTTCAGTTGGGCATTACCACCTCAGGAATTGAAGATCCAGAAATATAAAACTGGAACAATGACAGTTATATCTGAATACAATCTTAAAATTTATGAAAGATATACACAATTATCAGAGGTATCTGCTATTAAATGTTCCATATTAATCAGAGCATTAGAAGCATCTCTTCCACAGGGCGTTACTCTTAATGTAGATACTTTCGATCCTGCATTAGAGCGGAAGCGATATGTACCAGACAAAGAATTACTTGATTTGAAATCTACATTAGATACAATGAAGAACAAAACTTAATAAATTATTGCAATTGATATAAAATCTAAATGCAAATACAATGCTCTTGTATGTATGTATATTAATGTATAAAGATACTTTTCCATTATAAGAATACTTTTTTCAGTACACACAAATTTTTAAAACAGCAAAAACTTAAGATTTAACAACAAAATCAATGGAAAAAATAACTTTTTCTATTCTATTTCTTGAGAGATATATATTTATAAAAATTTTAAAAATTTATAAAAATGCAGACAATAAATACAAACATAATAAATATAAAAATACAAGTATAATAAAATAATAATATGATAAGATTAAGATATAAAAGATAAATATTTGTTTATAATTCTCTTTTTCTGTAGTTTAAAGAAAAGAGAACTATTTTACAAAAAACAAACTGATATAAAAGTTTAAAATAATAATGTTGCAATGTGTATTGCTTTTGAGAAGAAGAAATATTTTCTTTTTGTTACAAATTGCTTAAAATTTTGAATCAAATTGGAAATGAAATGTGTATACCTGTCTGAGAAAGTATATTATCTATATTTGTATTTCCTAATCTTGTTTATGATACTAGGTTCTTAGCTCTTTGACAATGTATAATATAAAATATATGTATGCATATGCACCCATATGTTACAATATGTAACAAAAGATATTTTCAACAAAGAAAATTTGTGAAGGGACTAGGGGGGGGGGGTGTTCAGGTTTTAAATATGAATTAAGAGAGTGCTCTTTTTTTGTGACTTAATTATCCGACTGACAACCTCTATTTTGTTTCTGTCACTGTTTTATCATAACAATACACATACACATAAAATGGTATGTGCAAATACAACTATTCTTGCAACAGGTATTAAATTAATTCTAACAAATTTTCTTAATACTCTACTTATAGATTTACAATAAACCAAAATGCACAACTTTAATCTTTGTACTGTCATCAGATTTGAGAGATTCTTTTACTTTCTCGTCTATATCGTCTTCTGCAAAGTATCAAAAACAAAGAACTAAATGATAAAGCCATGTTCTATACAAATTATTTCTTAACACACATAAACATGAAACATATCATGCTATGTAAAATACTTACTAGATAATGGTTGAAAATCTTTAAGATAATCTTCATTACCCAGGCAGAGTGGAAGACTTTCAGCTAGTTCACGTTTGGGATCCGTTACATGTACTTGTGTAGCAGGTCGTTTCTGCCTATGTACTTGAATCTATACATACACACATACACATACATATATATATATATATATATATTTGGTGTCGTATATATATATACAAAAAAAGGATACATATTAGACATTATTTTAGAGATACAAAATATATCTTTGTTAAAAACTATACTTACTGTGCCAGGTACTAATATGTGAGTGACAGTATCCGAGAACTTCACTTTTGGCTTTTCATTGGAACTTACTGGCGCGTCGGTGAACGGCGGATTTGTAGTGCAGATCGAATTGGCAATAGATGTATTAATCACAGGCAGAGGTGGTATGTTGGAAAATATTCTAGTTTCTTTATTTACATTAACGTTTTGGAAAGATCTCGACGAATATCTATTCTCGAATAATCTATGTTGCGCGCCATAGCTAGGATGAAAGTTTTGTGATGGAAAACTTTGTTTACCGGCCGTTTGTGAATAGTACTGCAAGTCTGTGTCATCGCGAGCACCATGAAATGGTACATAATCTAGATCGTAATTGTACCTATAAGTTTTAAAAGACGGGGACGGGATTTTCTGGTTTTGAGATATGTTAGACGACGTGGAATTTGGTTTTTGTAAAGTGCGCGACGGAACATAAGTCGCTTTGCTCAAGGGAAACTTGTGGATCGATTCGTCCGTGATGTCCGATAAACCTGGAGCGCTTTTGGACAGAGGATAATTTTTTCTGGGTAGACCATGAAGGTAATTAGCGAGAGAACTTGTCAAAGAGGGCGGTGGTGGAATATCGACGTCCGTTTCTTTCTCTTCTACTGTTTCAAATTGTTGTAATTTAATACCTTGATCGTTGCTGCTAAATTTATTGGGAAACATAATTCCGCTACTTTCGGAAGCTGCATTACCTTCGGGATAGTTAAACGAGGTAGACATCAGATTGTTGCAGATATTGTCTGGAAGAGGCAATTGAGTTTGAGGTAAACGATCGGTGTCAATGAGAATTCTGTTTAGTAATTTATCAGTTATCTTTGATGACTTTGCACTTTGTAACATGGAAGAAGTTATTTCAGAGTTATTATTCGTTGTTGTTACATTTAAGGAGTTACTATGCAAAACGGGAGCGCTCGTGATTCGAGTACTGAACGACGTTGACATAATGTTACTGTCAACAGCATTTAACGAGTTTGCCAAATATTTAGATTCAATGTCTTCAGATTCATACATCGGCTTGTTGAAGGGAGTTGAGATAAAGCTATCGTCCTGTGCACAAGTTGTCATCGCATTGGCAACGGAACTATTGAAGGAATATGGTATTTCATTAAGTAACGACTTGTCGTATGACCTAGTATCAAAATTGTCGCCGGATTGATCATCGATTATTACTTCCGATTCAGTGAGAGAAACACTACCGAATGACGTGGTCATTAAATCATCTGATGCATTATTAAACGCCAGAGAACTGTTGATGATGTTCGTCGTGTTAACTGGTGTGAAGTTCGATTGTATATTGTATGATTTGTTGAAAGAAGTTGATGCTAGAAATGGATTCGAAACGTGCGAAGAGTGATTAAACGAAGTTAAAATACCGTTAGAGGTATCCAAGAGCGAAGGTATTCGAGTATAGTCAGTCTTATTAATGGACGGAATATTGTTATAGGATGTAGAGAGTATGTTCTTGATATCGTGATGAGGATGGATAACTGGTAAGGGTGGGATTTGACTGGAGGCTTTTCTATAATGGTGTCTTTTCGATTGTTTTAGATTGGCTCGGTCTTCCTTCCGAGAATCTTCGCTCTCTTCACTATATGTTTCTTCCTCCTCTTCCTCCTCCTCCTCTTCTTCTTCGCCTTTCTCATTGCTTGAATCAGAACATATAGAACACGATGCTCTCGAACATGTTGAATCTATAAGAAATTGTAAATATATGATATTTTATCATATTCTTTTCGGAATATCTTTTATGCGATTCTTACGCGAGTCATTGCAGCTATTTGATCTACTCAAAATATTCTCAGCTTTCTCTTTAGCTGCAGTTGCCAGTTCCATGTCATTTAGAACCACAGCATAGAAATGTATGTCCATGAAGAGATCGTGATCGTTTAAATCAATAGCTAGTCTGAAAGCTTTCTCAAACATTCTGTATCTACAGAATTTATGGTCGTTAGAATAAATTTCGACACAATATTTTAATATCGTATTGTATAACGGGCGTTACCTTAATAAATGATAGAAGAATCGTCTTGTTAAATCCCTCACTTCATCTCCGTATTCCTCTTCGACAGCCTGACTTATCGGTTTAATAGGCACGTGAAAACTACCCAGAGCATTTTGTATCAGACCTGTTTCAAATTAATAAGATCGCATTTTTTTAGCCATTTGAAGTTTACCAGTAGATTAGAAATAACAAAATTTTATTTTACCTTCCCGTTCCGTTGTTAATGGTAACTTGAATAAATAATTTAAGATTTGATTGAGCGATTGCATGCATATATGTGAATGTGTATCCCAATTCATTGACAATAGTAAGGCAGTTGCCTGTTCTATTCGAGAATCGGACAAATATCTTCTGACTAGTTCGTCCCCGGATAAAGTATTGCCTTCGATTACTTTAATAACGCCAATCGGTCCTCTGTTGATACATAATAGAGATCGTTCATTTATATATCAAATATATGTTGTTGTTACATGAAACAATGTGTGATCCTCACCGTTCGAAAAGTAACAAGAACAAAGCATTGTTATTATTATAATAATGAATTTGATTTGTGTCACTTTTCCTGTTCCATTCCATATGTAACAAGGTATGCTGATTCCTGCTTTGTATAATTATTTCATGAATTGGATCTTATTGCGAGTACATATATCTCTATATATATTAATTATTTTATTGCTTGTACTTGAAATACGGTGACAAGTCGAGAATATTTGCTGGCGTCGTTTCGTCATTCAATGTCTGGCTTTTGATACACATTAAAGTGATATCAAAATGTTGAAACTGGCCTCTGTCATTGCCCACCACGAATATTATACCGTCGCTATGCCAAGCAGCCAAAGTAGGTATCTTGAAGAAAGAGAAAAAAAGACATCAATTTTTTTCTAATGCTGTGTTCCGATTCCCCATCTAGGTGCACCCAATATTATAGTATGTCACGTATACTATAATATCGGCTGCACACCAGGATGGGGAATCGGAACACAGCCTTAAATATGTATGTGTATTATATAATAGACTTACAAACGCGGCTTTTACACTGGTGGTTGTCGATTTCGTTTGATCGTATATCATAATAGTGCCATCAATGCAACATAATAACAATAATTCTTGATGAGGCGAAAATCTCACGCAACTTGTATGCGTCGGCAGTGGTACGGAGATCACGGCAATTCTTTTTAATTTGTTCTGCCGAGAAACTTCGTAAGTACGCCACTCTACAGTGACTTCTCCCTATATATTATATTTATATATATGCATTTTTTTAAATACAGCATATAACTAAATCTAGATTAAATTGAAAGAATAAAATTATGAACTACACAACAATTACCTTCCTTGAAACTTTTTGTTCTACAGAATGAATAATGTTGTCATCACATATATCAAACATAATACACAAAGGATCAAACTCAGTACGAATGTAACATAACAATTCTAACTTTGTTCTGAAAATATGAATTATTAGATCTATACACATTTTTGTATGTAGAGTATGTACACACATATATCATAGTATTTGTATATATTATACATACATATATATAAGTAATACACAATACGTCAATAGATTTACATGACCATAGCAACAGGCATAGCAATATGCATAACTAACCACATGACTTGACATCACAGAAAGATTTGTAATAACTAAAGTAAAGTTGTATAAAATTGATGTATATTAATTTTATAAAAGAACAAATTGTGCTTAGAAATGTCTCAATATTGGCATAACCATTGGACAGATGATGCATTTGCACCAAAAAGATTGCGAAATTGGGAAGTATCGAAATGGTACCCAAGTTTGCCAAACAGACACTGTGTTACTACTAAATTTATTGCAGATGATAATGGACACATACTAGATGATGTCAACAAAGATAAACATTCACCATGGGAAATATATAAAGTTTGTATAAAATTATAAATGTATTAAAAATTTATAAATATAAATTATTTATATTTGTATAAAGTAGTTTATTTTATATAATATTATATTATTTCTCTTTTAAAGTTTTTCATGTACTATGTAAAAATTATATTAAAAAATATTGTAAGGGCACATGGGATTTACCAAAGAAGATTACCAGAAATATTGCCAAAGAATTGTCAATGATTCCCCAGTACAAGAAAGATTCATGGGAATTATATGTAAAGAAACATCAGCAATTATGTAAGCAAATGGAGTGGAAAAAGATTAATTGTAAGGAAAAAGCAGAAGTCATGGAGCCATCAGAAGATACTGCAAAAAGAGATCAAGCAAACAAGCAATGTTGTATAATTGTTGAAAAGGATGAAGAAGATTAAAAAAGCATGGCATAATTATAATTGTAAGTATATTCTCTAATTCATACCCTGTAAGCCGAAACAGATGCATGTTTGCACGATGATATTGTTTCATAGCAGGACTCCATGGATAAACTTCATTCATTGTAGATTTTCGCCAAATTAATATCTATAAAGGTACATAATTTCCTACAGGCTATTGGCTATCAAATATATTTTTTTATTTATAATTTTTAGAAAAAATTTGGAGATTATTTACCAAGTCAGCAGACTTGTTTACTTGAATTTTCTTGTCGAGTCTACGTCCATTAGGTACAAATAAATCTGTTGTGATTAACTTAGGTTCTAACTTATTGATCTTATCAAAGACATGTGTTTTAGCTTTTGTAAAATACACCAGTGTCACTAGATTATCATTGTATATACAAACTAAATGATTCTTAGTAATAATGACTGTGAACAAAGAAAGATACAATATTATCTTTGCATAATGAATAATTTTTAGTGAATAAAATAATGCATTACCATCGGACACATGTTCTGATAATTTCCCTA